TGGGTGGCTCTGTCCGTTAAACATCGACTCTTGATTTCGGCTCAGGTCATGATCTCAGGGTCTGAGGGATTGAGCCCCATGTCGGGCTCCGTGCTGACAGCTCAGAGCCTGCTTGGGATTCTCTCTCTCCCTCTCTCTGCCCCTCCCCTGCTCTCTCTCTCTCTCTCTTATAAATAAATAAAATAAAAGCTAAAAAAAATTACCAGTAAAATTTCTACATCACTCAGCAATTCCACTTATGGATACTTAGTCCAAAGGATTGTAAGCAGGGCCTTGAACAGATACTTGCACACCCATGTTTATAGCAGTATTATTCACAGTTGCCCAAAGGGGGAAATAACGCAAATGTTCATCGATCGATGAATAGACAAACAAAACATCCATAAAATGGAATACAAATCAGCCTCATAAAGGAAGAAGATTCTGGGGCGCCCGAGTGGCTCTGTCGGTTCAGTGCCCACCTCTTGGTTTCAGCTCAGGTCATGATCTCGCGGTTCGTGAGTCCGAGCCCCGGGTCCGGCTCTATGCTGGGAGCGCAGAACCTGCTTAAGATTCTCTCTCTCCCTCTCTCTCTGCCCCTCCCCCTCCCCCCTCTCAAAATAAAAAAATACGCTTAAAAAAAAAAAAAGAGGAAATTCTGACCCGTGCTACAGCATGGATGAACTGTAAGGACACGATGCTAAGTGACATAAGTCACAAAATGACGAATACCACATGATTCCACTTACGTGAGACTCCTGGGGTAGCGAACTTTATAGAGACAGAAAGTAGAACAGTGGGGCCAGGGGCAGGGGGACGGGGAGATGGGGCGTTAGTGTGCAATGGGCACAGGGTTTCAGTTTGGAAAGATGAAAAAGTTCTGGAAATGGAGAGTGAGGGCTGCACAACACTGTGAACTGCACACTCAAAGTGATTAAAACAGTAAGTTTTATGTTCTGTATATTTTACCACACTAAAAATCGTGTCCAAAAAGCCCATCCCCCGGAAGTGTATCATCTCAGAGTTCTGGAGGCCAGAAATCGGAAATCAAGCAGGGCTGTGCTTCCCCCTGACAACTCTAGAGGGGACATCTCCGCGCACTTGGCTTTGAGTGTGTTCTGAGCCATCTGCTGTTCTGGACAATGAGCCCAATCAGAGCTGGGTTCAGTCATGTCCATATGTCCCCTGTGCCTGCCTAGACCCAGCACATAGTAGGCGCTCAGAAGATATTTGTCGGCCAGTCGAATTCATTAACGAGTAAGAGATAAAGAGAAGGGTGAAGGTGTCTTCGTTCGGGCTTTACCAGAAACAGACCCTAAGACGAGAGTCCAAGGGTAGGTAGTTTGTTTGAGGATTCATCCCAGGGAGTATCAGCAGGGAAGGGAAGGCAGCCGATGGGGTGTATCAGGGAGCAGGCCACCACGGTGTCTTCTT